GAACTCTCTGAATCCTGGCTCTTGTTGCCTCTGATAGGAGGAAGAGAAGAAGGAGATCTCTTCAGCCTCTCCTTGCCTTCCTTAGACTTCCTTAGAGAGCCAGTGTGGTGTAGTGGTTCAGAGCGGTGGACTCGTAATCTGGTGAACCGGGTTCGCTTCCCCGCTCCTCCACATGCAGCTGCTGGGTGACCTTGGGCCAGTCACACTTCTCTGAAGTCTCTCAGCCCCACTCACCTCACAGAGTGTTTGTTGTGGGGGAGGAAGGGAAAGGAGAATGTTAGCAGCTTTGAGACTCCTGAAGGGGAGTGAGGGTTCCAGGTGGAAAAATCAAAATTAGAGACAGAACTGTTAGAACCAAAGACTAAGGTACTTTCGAGAATGTACAACTTGTTGCTTAAATGGAACATACAAGATGAGACAGTTAAATCCGCCATGATAAAATGGGCACAGGATATTGGGCATAACCTCATGTTTGAGGACTGGGAAAGGTTATGGACCACCGGAATGAAATTCACGGCATGTAATGCCTTGAAGGAAAACATTATGAAAATGATATACCGGTGGTACATGACCCCAGTCAAGCTTGCTAAGATATATCACCTGTCTGATAACAAATGTTGGAAATGTAAGGAGGCTGAAGGGACCTTTTTTCACCTCTGGTGGACATGCCCGAAAGTGAAGGCCTTCTGGGAAGTGATTTACAATGAGTTAAAAAAGGTATTTAGGTATACCTTTCCCAAGAAACCAGAGGCCTTCCTCCTGGGCATTGTCGACCAGAAAGGATAGAACTTTGTTTATGTATGCAACTACAGCAGCAAGAATTCTTATTGCAAAGTATTGGAAGACACAAGATTTACCCACACTGGAGGAGTGGCAGACGCAACTGATGGACTACATGGAACTGGCTGAAATGACTGGCAGAATCCGAGATTCGGGAGAAGAAACAATGGAAGAGGACTGGAAAAAATTTAAGGACTATCTGCAGAAACATTATAAATTGTATGAATGTTAAGAATATGTACGATTAGGAAACTTTTGCTTCAGCAACCTGAATAGGTGAATTGGAAACTAAGTCATAAGAAAGACAAGGTGGAGACTTGAAACAATTTTATTATGTTTATTTTAAGGTACAAGTAATGGAGAAATAGTATTTTGAATCTAGAAACATAATATCTGAAAGATACAGTAAGGCATGAAATAAGGTAACAAATTGCTGATGTTTTTATTGTAAAGAACGCTGGGTTTGGAAGATGTGGGGAAGTCCAGTTGGATTTGCAAAAATGATCTGAAAAGTTGAATTTTTTATTCTTTCTTTTTGCTTTTGCTTTTTTCTTTCTTTATGATTACACTATCGAATTTGTATGTGAAAATCCAATAAAATTTTTATATATATATATATATATATATATATATATATATATATATATATAAAATTTTATTGGATTTTCACATACAAATTCGATAGTGTAATGACCCACCTAAGTGGTGCTCAGAATATCACTCAAGAAATCACTCAAGATATCCCACAAGTAATTAAGGAACAAAAGAAGAAAAGGCACACTAGCCTGGGAACTTCCTCTCTGCCCAGAACATTGGAGGCTATACACCACACCCCCTCAACAGTATTTATAGGAACTCAAACACTGAGATCCTGCTCTGTTCCAGTAACAAGAAGCCGAAAGCACCAGCCTGAAGATGACGAGTGAGACCTCGTCGAAACGTCGCCTAGACACCCCAACTTTTACACGGGAAGACACCCGAGGACACCAAAACCTGCATTCCTGTACCCGTGAAAATCTACGAAAGCAAATATATATATATATATATATATGCAGGTTTTGGTGTCCTCGGGTGTCTTCCCGTGTAAAAGTTGGGGTGTCTAGGCGACGTTTCGACGAGGTCTCACTCGTCATCTTCAGGCTGGTGCTTTCGGCTTCTTGTTACTGGAACAGAGCATATATATATATATATATATATATATATATATATAAAGACTCCTGAAGGGGAGTGAAAGGCGGGATATCAAATCCAAACTCCTCCTCTTCTTCTTCTTGTTCTTGTTCTTCTTCTCCACGAACTTCTCCTTTTGCTGATTTCAGGTTATGAGAGGGGGCACTGCTGTAGATTTGCCTCTTTCTGATATTCCGGCATTAATGAAATCTCAGCATTTTGCCTCTAAAATGTATCTAAGTCAGAACACATAAACTGAGCTCACTTCGGTGTCTGGTTTCAGGAACTGTAGCACTACTGATTCTGCATAAACAAAAAGTAACATAAAATTTGGCCAGCCCCAGTCCCAAGTTGCGGGAGCAACATTGTTGGTTGCTGCCTGAGCCCTGTCCTGCTTTCCTGCCTGAGCTCCTGACCCACCCTGGCTCCCTGCTTGCATGCCTGTCCCTGACTTCACCTGACTCCCTGCCTGCACCCAGCTTCAGCTACTATGGGCTGCCTTCACGTTGCACCTTCAACCACAGACTGGACTTGGACCTCGCCTCTCGGGTAACCCACAGGACCAGCACAGAACCACTAACACCAATGGGAAAGACGGCTCTGGGGAGGCACAGCCAGAGAACAGAAGGAACAAGAGAGTGGCCAATTTCCCTTTCCCCTTGCTCTCCACTCCATTTCCAAGAGCATTTCAGTCTCTCAATTATGGTGAATCAGCAAAGAGACCTTGCTGTAATGAAGAGGGGAATCCTGCATTTTATTCCCCTCCAAGGACTGAAAGGACTTCATTATTGCTCCGCCCTCATTTTCCTCACCTCAGCAAGTTCTCCTCCTCCAGCAAAACCTGCCGAGTTACCGCCATTGTTGATTTGCATCATTCTTCCTTCCCCACCTCCCAAACCAATGCGCCTGGAACATTTTTGTCTGCAGTAGGATGCAGAACGACTCATGCATGCACATGAAACCTCCTCGTGTGTTGCAAGAGCGGACCATTTTTGATAACTAGAAAATAAGCTCTTGCTGGAACCTTGTCCTGATTTTTTTATAGCTCATCCGAGCCCCAAGGTTGCCCTGAGGAGGACTTAGATGAATCCCAAGCCACCCTACTCAGGGCTATGAGCCCTTGGTACCTGCTTTTATATTGAGGACGGAGGACATGGTTCTTCCATCACCCTTAGACTCTGAGGGTGACTCCCCTGTTCCACCAACATGTAATCTGATTCCACTATGAGTCCTTTAAGGATTGCAGGGAGATTGGTAGAGCACGAGACTCTTAATCTCAGGGTCAGAGGTTAGAGCTCCACATTGGGCAGATGATTCATGCATTGCAGGGGTTGGACTAGATGACCCTCATGGTCCCTTCCAACTCTATGATTCTATGTCCTGGAAGAGAGGCACTGGGAGGGGCTGGAATGGTAGTCCTTGCAGTCGTCGTCTTCTTAAGCCTTCAAATTATTCTGGTCCTTTGCTGAAACAACATCCGCCACAGCTCAGCACGCAGGATCCACTGGGAGCTGACCAGGGTCCTGAATTGGTTTGGCTGTACTAGATTGAAACAGGTTCTGGTAATTACTTCCACCTCCGAGCCTCAGCAAAACAAATAGTTCTTGGCTTAAGTAGAACGACATCCCCGAGGCATACAGCAATGGTACTCTGCCATAAATACGATCAGTTTGGAGCTGTCATTTCCATTTATCAGTTCCTGCCTTTGAGGCAAACCTTCTGAAGAGGAACTTTCAGATCGTAAAGATCACTATACTCAGCCAAATCTGTTATTCCAAACGTCTCTCATATCTCTACTGGGTGTCATCTCACAAAAGGCTTTGGGGAGAAAGGGCCTGGGGGGCGTTTGGCTCTCATGTCCCAGTTCAAGGGGACATACCTTCAAAAGCAGTGCCTTGTGGGAGCAGACCAGGGTCCATCTGGCCTGCCCACCTGGTCAAGCCTTCTGCATCCAGACTGATGCCTGCTGAGAGTTCACAAGCAGGGTACAAATGCCATCCTTTGCTGTTTGTCCCTCCTATCTGCGGTCTTGCTGTTTCTGATGTTCAGGGTGTGAGTGCCGTTCCTGTAATAGTCCGCATGCCACCATCCAGCCGCAAAAAGAGGGAGATATCAGCAGGCTCAAGGTTTTCGCAGAAATACAAAAGATATGGGGGGGGGGATGATCTAGAGGTGTGTGAATGCGTGTTAAAACCTCCAGAACCCAGCTCATTGGTGACTGAGCATGCTCAGTGGGTGCAGAATCCTGATTAACAGTGTAAAGGTAGTTCTTCCCACTATTCATGGCCACTTCACAACAGTGAGCTCAGATCCCCAGACCTACTGAAATTCTAAAGCAGGCATAGGCAAACTCCGGCCCTCCAGATGTTTGGGACTACAATTCCCATCATCCATGACCACTGGTCCTATTAGCTAGGGGTGATGGGAATTGTAGTACCAAACATCTGGAGGGCCGGAGTTTGCCTATGCCTGTTCTAAAGGCATTCTAATGCACGCTGAAAATGAAGCAGAAAAACAGGAGCCTCTTTCACAGGGGAAGAAAATTCAACAGAAACTGGAAGGCAGATTTCAGCACAGTGCAGTTGTTGCAGGCACAGATCTGAAAGCAAGTTGCAGAACTGCGGAGTCTCTGATTCTTACAGCTAGGAGAAATTCTCAGGAGAGACACCAGGGCTAAATAAAATTACTTTGGGGAGTTCCCAGTTGCCAGCTCAGATTTCAGATAACCATTTCTCTGCCCCCTCCCCAAACTGCCTCTTCAATGCCCTTTGCGGCTCAGGATTGGAATGAGCGTGCCTTCATTCCGCCTGAACATATTGCTCCTTTATTGGAACTCATCTCAGACAGGTAGAAAAGAGGGAGACTCCAGCAACGGCTCTCCAGGAAGAAGGCCAATTTAATTTTCACTCCCTTTATTGTATCACAACTTGCAAGAAGAGAAGCTCTTCCTGCACCGCAGAAAACACATCGATCACTTCGTTGCGCCTCGTACGTGTTTATCAGCACTGATCTTGTTTCCCCTCTCTCCCCCTCCCCCATTTTTCTTGCAGATAAATTTTGTTTTCCTGTTTAACATAGTTAGGATTCTAATGACAAAGCTGAGAGCGTCAACGACTTCAGAAACAATACAGTACAGGTAAGCTGAGTGCTGCGCTGCTGAAAAAAATCACCTTTCCCCTTATATCCCCAACCAATCACTGGTCCCAGGATCAGCTCCCAGTAATCTCCAGGGAGGTCTGGGAGAGAACTGGAGAACTGTTGCCAGCCATAATTCACACCCATCAAACCTCCTTTGGGGAAGGTTCTCAGGTAGGGCGGAAGGAGGATGAACTTGATGGTGTTTCCTGCTTGGCAGGGGGTTGGACTCAATGGCCCTTGTGGTCTATTCCAACTCTATGATTCTATGTGAAGACCACCTGGTGGAAACCCCTACACATATGGTTCTCAATGGTAAACTATATGCTGATCACCGCCAGCAATTTCTAGTTCAACTCTGTATCCCCAGATGGAAACCAGAGTCGGAGGTCATACATTTTCTATTACTGGGGAATGATCAGGAGCTCACCAAGTTAGTGGCTAAATATCTCTATTTGGTTTTTTGTCGTCAAAATACACTGCAGACGCCCATTCTCCCTGGAGACCTAGAAATGCGACGATAGACTGCTCTGCCTCCTTTCTTTTCGCAAATGTTTTGTGCCACTGGGGAAGTGGTAATTCTGTATTGATTTGTTTTGGATGTTTATAAAGGTAAAGGTAAAGGGACCCCTGACCGTTAGGTCCAGTCGTGGCCGACTCTGGGGTTGCGGCGCTCATCTCGCTTTATTGGGTGAGGGAGCCGGCATACATCTTCCGGGTCATGTGGCCAGCATGACTAAGCCGCTTCTGGCGAACCAGAGCAGCGCACGGAAACGCCGTTTACCTTCCCGCCGGAGCGGTACCTATTTATCTACTTGCACTTTGAGGTGCTTTCGAACTGCTAGGTTGGCAGGAGTTGGGACCGAGCAACGGGAGCTCACCCCATCGCAGGGATTCGAACCGCCGACCTTCTGATCGGCAAGTCCTAGGCTCTGTGGTTTAACCCACAGCGCCACCCGCGTCCCTTGGATGTTTGTAGGTGATGCCAATAAAAGGTTTGAAAAGAAATTGTAGACATGTCAGAACTAGATGGACCAATGGTTTGACTTGATATAAGGCAGCTTGATGTAAGGTGGTTCCCATGTATTCTGCAGGAGACTGCCTCATGGAATAATAGAATCGTAGAATTGTGGGATTGTAGAGTTGGAAGGGACCCCGAGGGTCATCTAGTCCAGCCCCCTTCAATGCAGGAAGCTCAACTAAAGCATCTATGACCGATGGCCAACCAACCTCTGCTTAAAAATCTCCAAGGAAGGAGAGTCCACAGCCTCCCTAGGGAGTCTGTTCCACTGTTACCGTCAGAAAGTTCTTCCTGATATTTAGTCAGAATCTCCCTTCTTGTAACTGGAAGCCATTGGTTTGAGTCCTACCCTCCAGAGCAGGAGAAAACAAGTTATTTGTTTACTTTACAAATGTATAGATGGCTTTACAACCCAAGTCTGTCTATACAGGATTTTTTTTTAAAAAAAAAAAATGTGACTAACCTATTTCTTACACATAAGTGAAGCCACACCGCTGGGTTGTGTTCTGAAATCTGAGAGAAGCCAGTTGGAAATCCCCCGAGCCTCTGAAATCCTGTGGCCTTTCATCCCCCGCGCACCTTAGAAATTGCCAATCAGTCTGGCAAACTCAAAGCTCATTTGCTTAAACATGTCATTTCAACGCTCCTTCACCTTAATCACTATGAAGTCAACTGGGTGTCGAGGTTTCATTTCACTGCAAAAGACACCAGTTATTATAAAGAAAATTCAATAGAGAGTTGTGATTGGAATCAGGCTGAAGAACATCACTGCCAATTGCTACCTCTTCATTTAAGATTACCTTCCTTCAATTATAGGCGGTTTGTGTGTCATAGAATGGCTCAGGTTAAGAATATTTCGTAATAGCAAAATGTGCATTTGCTTAGGGGGGGGAACAAGGGGTCATCCAGCTGTTCTTGGACTCTGAACCTCCACTAAAGGTAAAGGGGTAAACGGACCCCTGACCATTACGTCCAGTCGTGGGCCCTCTGGGGCTGTGGCGCTCATCTCGCTTTATTGGCCGAGGGAGCCAGCGTACAACTTCTGGATCATGTGGCCAGCATGACTAAACCGCTTCTGGCAAACCAGAGCAATGCACGGAAATGCTGTTTACCTTCCCGCTGGAGCGGTACCTATTTATCTACTTGCACTTTGACGTGCTTTCGAACTGCTAGGTTGGCAGGAGCAGGGACCGAGCAAGGGGCGCTCACCCTGTCACGGGAATTCGAACTGCCGACCTTCTGATTGGCAAGTAGATAAATAGGTACTGCTCCGAGAGGAAGATAAACAGCGTTTCCGTGCACTGCTCTGGTTCTCCAGAAGCGGCTTAGTCATGCTGGCCACATGACCCGGAAGCTGTACGCCGGCTCCCTCACCCAAGAAAGTGAGATGAGCACCACCCGCGTCCCTTCAACATCCATTAGCCCCAGCCATAATCATCAATGGTCATGGATGATGGGAGTTGTAGTTTTTCATAGAATCATAGAATCATAGAATCATAGAGTTGGAAGAGACCACAAGGGCCATCGAGTCCAACCCCCTGCCAAGCAGGAAACACCATCAGAGCACTTCTGACATATGGTTGTCAAGCCTCTGCTTAAAGACCTCCAAAGGAGGAGACTCCACCACACTCCTTGGCAGCAAATTCCACTGTCGAACAGCTCTTACTGTCAGGAAGTTCTTCCTAATGTTTAGGTGGAATCTTCTTTCTTGTAGTTTGGATCCATTGCTCCGTGTCCGCTTCTCTGGAGCAGCAGAAAACAGCCTTTCTCCCTCCTCTATGTGACATCCTTTTATATATTTGAACATGGCTATCATATCACCCCTTAACCTCCTCTTCTCCAGGCTAAACATGCCCAGCTCCCTTAGCCGTTCCTCATAAGGCATCATTTCCAGGCCTTTGACCATTTTGGTTGCCCTCCTCTGGACACGTTCCAGTTTGTCAGTGTCCTTCTTGAACTGTGGTGCCCAGAACTGGACACAGTACTCCAGGTGAGGTCTGACCAGAGCAGAATACAGTGGCACTATTACTTCCCTTGATCTAGATGCTATACTCGTTTTTGGAAGACCACAGGCTGCCCCTTCTTGCTACAAGCGATCAGATGACTGTCAGTCTCATTCTATCTCATATTTTATATTTAGTTCCTGCTGACCTTCCCTCTCTATGCAAGGAAAAACCCTGGCTTTAAGAGCCATTTCCCTCACTCTCGCATTGCAAAGCTAAATTGCCCTCTCTCCCCCTGTTCAGCTCCGCCTTCCTGCGAGTTTTGGAATCAAATTTATTGGCAATTAAGCTAAATGTTCCGAAAGCTGACTTGCTAGATCCCAGCTAATGCTTTGCAAAGCAGGCTTCTAGGCAAGCAAATTAAAATAAGCCGATCTGCTCTTTACAAGTCCTCTATTCTCCCCCCCTCTTTCCCCCCTTTTTTGCAAAGTTAAGATAAACATTGCTGAACCTGAACTGCTGAAGAGCTCTGCTCAAGGTTGTGTTAGCAAACTAAGCAAGCGATACCTAGCTCTATAGACCCAGCTGTAGAAATTTGGGATATAGCAACATGAAGCATCTTTGAGTCAAATTATGGGGTAACAGAGGAGACACATGGCACAGCTCTCCGAGGGCTGTATCATTTCAGAAAGCAGGGGTTGGGGTTGCATGTCTGAGGTTAAGAACTCCTCGCAAATAGAAAACTAGGGTTATGAGGAAAGCTTCACTTGCAACCTCCTAATTTTTCACAGGGAAAGTTGGTAGAGTATTTAAGCTTATGATTTGCACCACCCATATTCTGAAGTGGTACAGTCCCAGGAGCACCCCCACCCCAGATTATACCACTACATTTGGGAGTTTGATTTTAGCATATGTGTAACCGAGGCAATGGGACGCGGGTGGCGCTGTGGGTTAAACCACAGAGCCTAGGACTTGCTGATCAGAAGGTCAGCGGTTCGAATTCCAGCAACGGGGTGAGCTCCCGTTGCTTGGTCCCTGCTCCTGCCAACCTAGCATTCGAAAGCACGTCAAAAGTGCAAGTAGATAAATAGGTACCGCTCAGGCGGGAAGGTAAACGTCGTTTCCATGCGCTGCTCTGATTTGCCAGAAGCGGCTTAGTCATGCTGGCCACATGACCCAGAAGCTGTACGCCAGCTCCCTCAGCCAATAAAGTGAGATGAGCACCGCAACCCAGAGTCGGCTACAACTGGACCTAATGGTCAGGGGTCCCTTTACCCTTTACCTTTAACCGAGGCAAATGAATTAGGACCTTGCAGAGGAATGCCCAGTTTCCCAAGTGCAAACAGGGCCTTTTCAGTGGTAGCACCTGAATTGCAGAACTGTGCTTTCAGAGTGGTATGCCTGGCACCACTGAGTCTCCTTTTTTTAGCACTAGCAGAGACCTAAAAAAATAAAATACCCAGACCTTTAAATCTATTATTTTCCATTTATTCTTTGGACAGAGTTAGGGATATGGGGGGGGAGATTCAATTCAGTTCACATTTAGAGGTAAACCTACCTAATTTGCACTCCATGAACAAATATGTGAACCAAAACACAGCCACTGTTCAAAATTCACCCTTCTCTGAATTTTTCAGTGTAGTTCTCCGGCCAAGTAATGTGTACAAAAATGCATATAGCAAAAATCTGTATATTAGGCAAAATTCCATACAAATATGTGTCTATTGGGATAAATCAGAACTAAAACTCTGGTTAGTTTTCCCAGTTACTTTCTTATAAATCTCAAACTGATGTGGAAATGTGGGGAAATAGGTTTAAGATTGGAAAAATGGGAACCAGACAAGAAACTGAAATTGTCCGACTCATTTATCCCTGGCTGTGTCGATACTGACTTGGGCAAGATCAGAGTCAACATTGTTGGGTTCATAGGTTTCAACTCCCTGGCTTCACCCCTAAACTCCCAGCCACCCTGAACATGAAGCGATAAAGCAGGCTGAACGTTTGGCTATAACGTCGTGCAGATTCTTTGTAAAAAGTGAGTGAACAAATGATGGCACAAGCTATTTGGGAATCTCCTGAGTCTCATTGTCTGAAATTCTGGAATTTCAGTGGGCTTTCATCCCACACATACCTTAGAAACTACCACAAGTTAGGCAAATCCAGTCTCATTCACTAAACATGCAATTTCAGTGTTTCATTGGTGAGATGTTGCCCTCCATCAATGTTCTCATTTTCTGCCATTTTTGTGAACTTTCTCCCTTTGATCTCCCCTTAACAGGAAGGCCGTCAAAGCAACATTAGTTCTTCTGCCTCTTCTGGGTATTACCTACATGCTTTTCTTCGTCAACCCCGGGGAAGATGATATCTCCCAGATATTTTTCATCTACTTCAATTCCTTCTTGCAGTCTTTTCAGGTAAGGGATGTTAAAAGAAAAACACAAAATGGGCACAGTCGTGGTAATTGCCTAAACTGGCTCAGCTTTGACAAGTGTGTCACTCTGTTGACCGCTAGAGCTCGCAGTCAGGGTGACTGACAAGGAATGATAGCCAAGAGAAATACCTCACGGACTGTGGATGGGTTATAACTTACGGGGTCCTTGCTGCGGGATCACATTCATCCAGTGCTTTACCAGCTGCCCTGGCTCCTGGTGGAGTACAGGGTCAGGTTTAAGGTGCTGGTTTTAACCTTTAAAGCCCTATACAGCCCAGGACCCTCGTACCTACGAGACCGCCTCTCCTGGTATGTCCCACGGAGGACCTTACGGTCTTCAAACAAAAACATCTTGGAGGTCCCGGGCCACAGGGAGGTTAGATTGGTCTCAACTAGGGCCAGGGCCTTTTCAGTACTGGCCCCAACGTGGTGGAACACTCTGTCACAGGATATCAGGGCCATGCAGGACTTGACATCTTTCCGCAGGGCCTGCAAGATGGAGCTGTTCTGCCTGGCCTTTGGTTTAGACTCAGTCTGACCCTTATGTTTCCCTCCCCTTATGGTTTTGGGCTACTATTAAAATGAGGCTGCATTTTAAATTGTATTTTAACCTATATTTTAATAAACTGGCTTGTTTGTTTGTTTGTTTGATTGATTGATTATTATGTTTTATTGTAATTTTATTGGTGTTAGCCACCCTGAGCCCAGCTCTGGCCAGGGAGGGCGGGGTATAAATAAAAATTATTATTATTATTATTATTATTATTATTATTATTATTATTATTATTATTATTTTTATTGAGTGAATGTTCTCCAAAGCATCTGCTATTAAGTTGTCAAAATACAGACAAGAATCAAATGGGTTTTACTTTTCGGTTAGGGCCAGTTCAAGATTAGCTAAGATTTCTCTGCCCTGATTGTTCCCGGGTAACACGTTCACATGAAAAAGGGAACCGGAACCTGGCTCACAGTTTGAGCATTTTTCTGGATCCAGAGGTTCTTCTGGCTGATCAGCTGGAAGTGGTGGTCTCTATTGCCTTTCACCAGCTCTGGGAAATAGAACTTGCCTCAGTCATTTTCACCCTAATCACTTCTAGGCTGGACTGCTATAATACAGTCTGTGTAAAAGGTAAAGGGACCCCTGACCATTAGGTCCAGTCGTGACCGACTCTGGGGTTGCGGCGCTCATCTTGCTTTATTGGCCAAGGGAGCCGGCGTACAGCTTCCAGGTCATGTGGTCAGCATGACTAAGCCGCTTCTGGCGAACCAGAGCAGCACATGGAAACGCCGTTTACCTTCCCGCCGGAGCGGTACCTATTTATCTACTTGCAGTTTGATGTGCTTTCAAACTGCTAGGTTGGCAGGAGCAGGGACCGAGCAGCGGGAGCTCACCCCATCATGGGATTTGAACCTCCAACCTTCTGATCAGCAAGTCCTAGGCTCTGTGGTTTAACCCACAGCGACACCCACTTCCCTATAGTCTGTGTAGGGCTGCCCTTTAAGTTAGTTTTAATAAAACTTTGGTTGGCCAAGAATGCAGATACTAGGATTCTGGCAAGAGCCAGATCAGAACATGGCGCACTGATCTTGTACCAGTTGCACTGGTGACCAGTTTGTTTCAAGGCGCTGGCATTCAAAGAGTTTGTAAAGCTCTGGGCAGCCAGCAGTCAGAATTGAACCAGCTTGGAAACACCATTCCACTATGGAGTCCTTCATCTACCTCCCCCTACAACCTGAGATGTGGCAGGTTTTCTTAGTTGTGGAAACCAGAAATTCATACAAAATGCATCAGACTTGGGGAAATGGCTTTGCAATCTTGTGTATATTAGGCAAAATTGCTTACAAATGAGTGTCCATTGGGAGAAATTAGCCAGTGTGGTGTAGTGGTTAAGAGCGGTGGACTCGTAATCTGGGGGACCGGGTTCGTGTCTCCGCTCCTCCACATGCAGCTGCTGGGTGACCTTGGGCCAGTCACACTTCTCTGAAGTCTCTCAGCCCCACTCACCTCACAGAGTGTTTGTTGTGGGGGAGGAAGGGAAAGGAGAATGTTAGCCGCTTTGAGACTCCTTAAAGGGAGTGAAAGGCGGGATATCAAATCCAAAATCTTCTTCTTCTTAAATGCTGATAGGTTTGCAAGAGGACTTTAAAAAAAAACCACACAAAGTGATGTGTTGCATCTCTTTTAGTTGAGAATGTTTATTTTAAATTATTGATGAAACTGTTATATTGTGTATTTTAATTGTGTGGGTTTTTTAAGAATTGGTTTTATACATGTAAACCACTTACTTGGCAAATAATAATAATAATAATAATAATAATAATAATAATAATAATAGTGGTGGTGGTGATAACAACAACAAATGTGGGGAACTGAACTTAAGAATGAAAAAATGGGGAAAAAAATAAAGTGAATTCTATTTTGCCCAGAATGGAAAATGTAAGCACATTTGGGATACCCACTGCAGCGGAAGCTCCTGGGGAATGTCAAGGCAATCCAAAACCATTTAGATACGAAGAAGAAACATTCCCTGAGAGGTTTTGCATCTTTCCAGTTGCAAGGAAATGGCCACAGAGTTAGGAAAAAAACATAATTCAGGGCACCTGATCTGCACACAGCAGGCCACAGCTTCAGATCCTAGCATCTCCAGTTATGTATGATCCCGTAAGAGATGATAAGAAAGATCCCTGGTCTTTATCCTGGAGAATCGCTACCAGTCAGGGTCATAGCTGTCAACTTTTCCCTTTTCTTGTGAGGAATCCTATTCGGAATAAGGGAATTTCCCTTTAAAAAAGGGAACAGTTGACAGCTATGGTCAGGGTAGACCATGCCAAGGTAGATCAGACAATGGCGTCGCCTTAAGGCAACCTCACATAGCACTTATAGAAGTGGAGTTGAGCTTTATGTTCAACCATCTGTGATATATACATGATTTCCAAGATGTAATGTCCGTTTAAAGAGATTTGTGCTCCAAACCAATTTTTGAACAGCCAGCCATAGATCTAGACCAGGCATGGCTGACCTGTGGCCCTCAAGGCAACAAGGCCCATGATCAGAAGTTTTGTTTTATTCTGTTTTACTCTGTTTTTATTGCTCTCTCATAGCCACCTGGAGACTAGCTGGAGATGGGATACTTTCTTTTTTTAATTGAACAAACGAATGGAGTTCTAGTCCAACAGCATCTGGGGGTCTCCAGGTTAGGCACCCCTAATCTAGACAATATTAAGGATCGCTCTGCTGAGATAATGCAGCACTACTTTGAGATGTATCTCAATAAAGCGACGACTCAAGAATCAACTTGTTGGCAGAGGAATATTGGCTGAGGAACATCAGAAGTAAAAAAAGGGAGGGCTTTGTGATGTTCACCCCCTAACATTCCAGCCCTTTTTAATGCATCTTCCTATCCTCTTTTGCAATGGGAGGAAAATAACCTCATACCGATATCTTTCTGTTTCTTCTAGGGCTTTTTTGTGTCTGTGTTTTACTGCTTCTTAAATGGAGAGGTAAGTTTCATTATTCTCTGTCTGCACCGTCCATTAGTAAAAAGTTGGTGGTTTGTTTTTTTTTAGCAAAATGGAGAAGTTATGCTTCCTAATAGAAAAAGGAACGTCCGGTCTTGGTTATGTTTGTCTTCCCAGCCACTCAATGAGGGAAGCCTCAGTCGTAAACCGTGAGACTCTTCATCTCAGAGTTGTGGGTTTGAGCCCCAGGTTGAGCAAAAGATTTCTACGTTGCAGGGGGTTGGACCAGATGACCTCATGGTCCCTTCCCACTCTGCAATTCTATGAAATTATTTCCAATCTACATAGGAGAGATTGAGACACCAGGCAAGTCAGTTGCTTCATAGCTTGTTGGGCTGGGTCAATTCAGGATTTTCAGCATGCTTGGAGGATCTGCAACATACATCCGATTATGGATGTTATCCTCACAGTCCCTTGATATGCACAATCTTAACTTCTCCCCCCCCCCAAAAAAAGGGGGGGGGAAATCTGGCAAAACATTCTGAATCCATATCTACACTCCAAACCTTTGCTTTGAAATACAGTCATACCTCGGGTTACAGCCGATTTAGGTTGCGTTTTTTCGGGTTGCAGACCGCTGAAACCCAGAAGTACTGGAACAGGTTACTTCTCAGTTTTGGTGGTCATGCATGTGCAGAAGCACTAAATCATGCTTTGCACATTCGCAGAAGTGCCGACTCGCAACCCGTGTATGCGCAGACGCGGGTTGAGAATGCTGCGGGTTGTGAACGTGCATCCCGCACAGATCATGTTCGCAACCCGAGTGTCCACTGTATACCATATTTTTCAGTGCATAAGACAATGCTTTTTGCTAAAAATAATAGGCAAAAACTGGGTATTGTCTTTGATAGTGAATGCAGAGGAGAGACATGTGATTAATGGCAGTAGCAAGCAGGAGATTGGCAGCGGCGATTGGGCGGGTTATTGGTGGCTGCGGCAAGGCCTGCTGGCGATTGGCTGTGGCTGCGGCAATTGGGCAGGTGATTGGCGGCTGCAGCAAGTGGGCGGGTGGGATGTTGGTGGTGGCGAGCAGGCAGACAATTGGTGGCTGCAGCGAGGTGTGCGATTGGCAGTGGCTGTGGCAAGCGATTGGCAGTGGCGGGGCAGGCGGGTGAGCGATTGGTGGAAGTGACCTCCCCCACTCCCCAGAAAGCTAAACAACTTAATTTCTTAATTTGGGGTTAATTTCTTAATTTGGAGGCGTCTTATACATGGGGGCGACTTATACACGGAAAAATACGGTACGTCTCAAAAAGTAGAGTTCAGATGCAGCAAACAAGCGTGCACACCAGGAAACTGGAGTAAATGGATGTAGCAAATGCAAAATTACAGGGAGGGATCATGGTTCAATTCCCTCCCCTTGGCATCTCCAGGTAGGACTGGGAATGTCCTCTGCCCCAAACACTGGAGAGCCTCTGCCAGCCAGTGTAGACAATACTGAGCTAGACCAGGTATTTGACTCAGAATAAGGCAACTTCCATATCAACAACCTCAGATATGCAGATGACACAACCCTGATGACAGAAAGTGAGGAGGAATTAAAGAACCTTTTAATGAGGGTGAAAGAGAAGAGCACAGAATATGGTCTGAAGCTCAACATCAAAAAACGAAGATCATGGCCACTGGTCCCACCACCTCCTGGCAAATAGAAGGGGAAGAAATGGAGGCAGTGAGAGATTTTACTTTCTTGGGCTCCATGATCACTGCAGATGGTGACAGCAGCCACGAAATTAAAAGACGCCTCCTTCTTGGGAGAAAAGCAATGACAAACCTAGACAGCATCTTAAAAAGCAGAGACATCATCTTGCCAACAAAGGTCTGTATAGTAAAAGCCATGGTTTTCCCAGTACTGATGTATGGAAGCGAGAGCTGGACCATAAAGAAGGCTGATCGCCAAAGAATTGATGCTTTTGAATTATGGTGCTGGAGGAGACTCTTGAGAGTCCCATGGACTGCAAGAAGATGAAACCTCTCCATTCTTAAGGAAATCAGCCCTGAGTGTTCACTGGAAGGACAGATCATAAAGCTGAGGCTCCAATACTTTGGCCACCTCATGAAAAGAGAAGACTCCCTGGAAAAGACCCTGATGTTGGGAAAGATGGAGGGCACAAGGAGAAGGGGACGTCAGAGGATGAGATGGTTGGACAGTGTTCTCGAAGCTACCAGCATGAGTTTGACCAAACTGTGGGAGGCAGTGGAAGACAGGAGTGCCTGGCGTGCTCTGGTCCATGGGGTCACGAAGAGCCGGACACGACTAAATGACTAAACAACAACAAAGGCAACTTCCTACATGATCTTCTGGTGGTGGTGCACTCTCCGGGAAAACAGCTCCCCAACTCTCTGGCTGACAATGCAACAACATCTTCCACTGTTTGTACATTTGCTGAGCAAAAACCTTGCAAGAACCATTTGCTTTAACAAGAGTTTTAAAGCTGGCTTCTACACAGACATGCACACACATCTTGCTCCCATTTCCTCGCTGCAGGCCGTTTAATCCCTTTGCACTCTGGGGAGAAGTTTCCCATCTTCCTTCACGGAGTCATGCATTGAGCGCTCATCCCCTCCACTCAAGCAGAGCAACACCCTAATAGTTTTCTCCCCTCTCCCTGCGTGGAGGACTTTTCAGAACCATTAGCAACAGCACCGTTCTTCTCTTTCCATTCTGCCTTTTCTGAGTTGACCCATTCCATCCCATTAGCCAGGTATAACAGCATTTGATTGCGATAATTTCGGGACTCATTTGCTTCCCTTTCTGCCCACGTGATTCCCTGCTCTCCACCTGCTGCCCTGTGCAAAGTAGAAAGGCCTTTTCCATGCGCCTCTTGCAATTATTCTAATGCTTCTTGAAACACACAAATAGGGAGGCAAGTCCTTCCTATGTCAACCCAACACATTTGGCGGCTTTCTCCAGTTTACCAGGCTGTCGCTTCCTCTTTGCATTGTCAAGTCCATCAATGACATGCTTATGTGAGTCACTCCAGACACGGGGGGGGGGGAGAGAGAGAGAGAGAGAGAGAGAGAGAGAGAGAAGATGGGATAAAACAAGATAATGCTATTTTGTCAGGGTTCGGCACCAGGGGTTGGCATACTCGGCCAGATGCCAAAGGCCCATGTCCCAGCAGGGGGCCTGTTGTCATGCACACGCACAAACACACACTCATGAGGGCTCACCTCTCATCAGCCATGCTCCAGGGCCTTTTGACTAGCTGGCATGAGTTGCATGGCAAGTTCCCACCCCCCAGGTGGAAATAATGACCCATGACACAATTATTAAGGGTAATGGGCTAAAAAGGGCCACAACTTCATTGGTTACAGGTGATGAGCGGTACTGGCTTAGGCATTGGTCCTAACTGACTATATCCAACTGGAGTCCTGCTGATCCACATCAACTAGGAACTCCCCCGGGGTCACCGCTCGGGGGCGTGCCTTAGGCCCTATCCTCCCCAGGCTTTGGACATGGCCACGCCCCCCGGAATCCTTTATCGGACTACCCTTCAATATGTGAGGCAGGTGATGGCGCTACCTCCCCTCTTCCATCTACAGAACAATACCAATGCCTAACCGCCAATACCCAGAAAGTTGTGACGATTTGCTACGAGGTAGGCGAAAACCAAGTGGCTGGTACCAATTTGCTAAGTGCAAAAAATCCTACCAGGACCCTCAACGGCAACCAACCAAGGTCCATAGCAAGGTCAAGGAATGAAAACCTTATAGGGTGGGAGGGTGGGAAACAGGAACAGCTGGTAGGTGGGAAAAGAGGGAGATCCCCAGCCGTGTCCTGCCTTTATAGGGTAGGCCACGCCCCCTGAGCTGGCCGATTGGCCGGCCAGGGGGTGACACGGCCGGGAATCCCCCCAATCATGCGGGGGCTGGCCTCCACCCACCGCGCGCGTGGAGGGGCTGTGAAGCCCGCAACCCCACCTCCTCCGAAGGGTGAAAGTGGCTCTCTCGGACTGTGATGATGCTTCTTGCTTGCCTGGATGGAGAATTCAGAGAAGTGTGGCCGGTGGGGGGAGAGGGAGAAACTGTGTGTGTATGTTAGAGAGAGGGGGAGAGAGAAGAAACCTCTGGCTTTTGCATGTAGCCTATTGTACAAAGGTAAGAGCCATAGGACTCGGGTGGCGCTGTGGGTTAAACCACAGAGCCTAGGACATGCTGATCAGAAGGTCGGTGGTTCGAATCCCTGCGATGGGGTGAGCTCCCATTGCTCGGTCCCTGCTCCTGCCAACCTAGCAATTCGAAAGCACGTCAAAGTGCAAGTAGATAAATAGGTACCGCTCCAGACAGGAAGGTAAACGGCGTTTCCGTGCACTGCTCTGGTTCGCCAGAAGCGGCTTAGTCATGCTGGCCACATGACCCGGAAGCTGTACGCCGGCTCCCTCGGCCAATAAAGCGAGATGAGTGCCGCAACCCCAGAGTCAGTCACGACTGGACCTAATGGTCAGGGGTCCCTTTACTTTTACCTTTAAGAGCCATACCCATAGATCAGTTGTCAGGGGCTGGCTGGACGCAGAGGAATGGTGGGAGGAACCAGCTGGGGAACCACCAAAGGAAGAAGGTTCAGAGTGGCGGTGGGATGACAATGAGGCATCAGAGGGACGAGGTTGGGAGGAAGAGATGTTGGAAGCTGAAGAGGTAACAGGGCTGTGTGAATGGGGAGAGTCTGTGGCAGAGAGAAGTCCGGAAGCTGTAGCAGGAGAAGGGGAAGGCCAAGAGGCAGAGATGTCTCAGGCTCTTGAAGAGGCCCAGGTCTCTCCCACTCCTGCTGCACCCAGCTCCCCTCCCCGCTTGTCTCCCAGAACCAGAAGAGGCATGAAATGGGAGGAGCAAAGGCAGGCACACAGGCCTAGTATCAGATTGCTTGGGGAAACCCTGGAGAGGAGGAAACATAGGCAACCGTGGGGAGGCAGGGACCTTTGGTCTTCGTGGGGGCAAGACTTGCCGGAGATGAGTTGCTGTGCTCGTTAGGCCTGACACTCCTG